ATCCGCCATCCAGTTCTGGATAACCATGAAAAGTTCCGCAAACATTCGTTGTACGTACGCTCGCAAAAGTAAATAAATAAATACATAAATAAATAAATAGAATACACCGTTATGGGCGATGAAGTGTTTCGCTGAAATGACAGTCGCTCAAACTGTAGTCGACGAAATAGATGTCGCTGAAACATAGCTTTCGCTTAAATTGATACTCGCTATATTTGATAATCGCTCAATTTGATATTCGCTAAGCTGCCAGTCGCTGAAAATGGTTCGCTCAAATCACGTTCGCTCAAATGACACTCGCTAAAGTCGCTCGCACCGACTCGGATCATATATCTATGTTCTTCGTTAATCGTCATATTCTATGAGATATCATAGATTCATACTAAAATATATCTTTCACGCGAGATCCGGAGCTGGATCATATATCCTAAGATGCATTTTGCTTAGAGATCCACTGGGATCATAGATCCATCACTCAGATCCATGTACATGTCTGTTTGCAATACACATTTACCTACACCTTTTTTCCCGTATCATATTATTCACGTATCATATCTAGGATAAATGTAACATTGGCAGGCTTCTTCAGATTTTGGCCCAGTGATTGATTTAGTCTTTACCCCAGGTACATACCTATGTTATCAGAGTGTACCTGAACTTTTGGCATTTAATAAAAATCGGTATATTGCATGCTCTTCTGAATGCTTATTAAGTTTAAGGACACGTTAAGAGTTCGACTTAATGTGCAATTTCCTGGATGCATTAAATTGCCACAAATGGTACGAACTATGAGACGTTTATGTGCAAAAATGTCATAAATGAGATAGCATTATATTACGCAGCACTTGGACAAATCTGGTCTGTGGTTATATAAAATAAAGTTTTGCTGTCCCTTTGTCTTGACATGTAAAGGAGTTTCAAACCTTTCAGCTCAAGTTATTTCGAACAGACCCCATGATCATTAGCACGGTCATCTCCCAGTGCAGGTATCTGCTCACCTCCCACCTTTTACTATTCTACGAGCCACAATTCCAGTCGCAGATAGCGCTGCAAATGACGTCATTGGCCCGATGACCGGGCCGCGCTCGGCTCTGAAATATCCCCGGCGGCGTCCGGAATGCCACCGCCAGCGGCGGGCGGCGCTATTTCCAGACGTCTCTGACGTCAGCGGCACTATTTTACGCCACCCGCCGACGAGTTCGATTTCTGGCCGGCGCCGGAGGCACGGGGTAGCCGAGATGGACGGTCGAGACGGCCCGGCCAGCCCGTGGAATCCAGTCACGTGTCCATGGCCATGTTAAACCTGCCCACCAAGTTTTTGACCTACCGAAGTTGGCCCGTTTGCGGCCGCCCGTGCGTGGTCGATGACGTCACCGGCGCCGTTTGCTGAGTTGTTGTGTTGTTGGGGCGCAGGAAGCGGAAATACCTCCTGCTGTGAGCGCGGGCCGGACGTGGGCAAGACAGGGACCATATCGGTGGCATGAACTTAGAGTTCTGGCAGCACAGGAAACATGATCGTGGTGCCGTGGACCGATTTGGAAAGCAAATTCGGATACAAACTCCAGGGTTAAAATACAACTTAGTGCAGCGTTAAACAGGGGCAAGCCGGTCGCTATCAGGTGATTGAAGGTGTAGTGAAGCTCGATGAGAATCGATTCCGACAGGGAGGCCCGAAGTAAGGACTGGTGCGATGATAATAATTTCCGACATGGCAGCCCGAAGCAGGGACTGGGGAAGAGACGAGGAATTATTCGGAACAAATGCGTATCAGAGACAGTCTTCAACCCAGCCAGCTCCGGGAGTGTCCCCTAAAGACGCCAGCCACCCCACCTATCCTGGCCTTGAACCCACCACGCACCGGTCGATGAAAGGGGCGCAAACAAGCACGGAGGGAGCCACGCGCGCGCCAGGCACACGGCCACAAAACCATCAGCTCTCCTCCCCTCCCCTCGCCCAATCGGCAACCGTCAGCAGCGACCACGCAGGTTTCGCCGCTGTGATGAGTTGAGCTGCAACAGGCAATTTTCTTATGGAATGTAGATGGCTTTGAAATCCTGCCAGTGCGACGCTTTTAGTTCAGGACATCTCCGTGACGAAAATGTAAAGTGATCCGATTTTAGTGTTCCGATTGCTATCAACTTGTAATCTCGTATTAGAAACATACCATGTAATCCCGTATCACAGCATCCTGAATCACAAACCGAGCTAGGTACAGACAACCAAATGTGTGAATCGATTAAAAATGACTTGCCCTACGCGCTGTGGTAATTACAACATTTGCTCGGTCCCAATATTGCTGCCTGTCATTCAGGAAAGATGACACACTTTTATCTTCAGCCTCACTTCCGCACGAATTAGAAAAATCACTGGAATGTTGCAATTGTTAACGTCCACGCTAGGTAGTGTGAAGAGTTTCCGTCTGTAAATCGTGATCACTAATTGGCGCACGTTGGAAATCTGCAGGCAGGAAGGCGCCGAGGAGCATGTAAAAACGCTCACCGGAATGTAAAAAGTTCGCAATATTCGCGATATTTCCCCGTAAAGGAAAAGAAAGGCATGTTAGACAATTGATTGCGCTGGTAACATCGGTTCGCAAATCAGAGTGTGAAAAGCGAAAAGTTCGAATGAACAAAAAATTGGCATTTATCATCACATTATAACCGCATTAAAAATGAAAAAGATGCGAGAGACATCTCATAATTACAATGATGATTCAATGGAATTAGATCAAAGCAAGTACTAAAGGAGGCATTTGAGGCTCCTCTTTTCACGATTTCATATCCCGTTTGACACCTTTTGCCTAGTTTCTGCCCTTCTTTGTGTGGAAAGTTATTAATGTGTGGCAATAACTGGAGGGTCTATATAACCTACTGTAAAAACATCATATCAGCACCGTAAATCGTTAAGTGCCAAGGATCTTTGAACGGATTGCGCTGCTAAATCCGTACAGATCCGTGAAGAGCCCCATCTTACGTTATTTGCGGAATGCGCGCGGCGCGTGCCTCAAATGCCTCTCCGTTGATAGCCGTCAGTGTGTCAATGGTAAACACGGCAGATTCCGAGGGGATAGGAGCGGCGCATAGCCGTCATCGCAGCTCACGCATTCTTCCAGCATCCCTCCCCCGTCCGCGGAGAGGGGAGGGAACTGTACCGGACGGGCCAACGCTGCCCAGGGGGCGATCGGTCCTCACTATTTGTGAGAACAATACCATATTTGGCGCCGGCTGGACTGGACTTAAGGCGTCGGTGCCTCTTGAAACGGATATTACGCCAGAGCTCGTCAAGGTTGCGACCAAAGGGCCGTCCTAGTTCGAGAAACTACACTGGACTCTTCAGCTTCCGTGATTCATCATATTTTTTAGCCCGTAAATAACATCCAAAGGGCAAAAGATAGTGCTTTTTTAATCCGCTTGTTAGCAATGACTGGAGTGAAGTGGTTTTTTATTGTGATCATGAATTCCAAGTGCCGAATAGCTGCAAGAAGGACCAATCGGTAAATTGCAATGAAAACGATTCAGCGGGGATCAGTTAGGCTCCCAACTCTCCGTTTATTTTCCGCTTCCTGCTACACAAGTTTGGTGTTTCACCTCGACGAATTACATCGCCTACCTGCCACTACGGTTTCCATGTCCTTGATTGGGCACAGTCTACACGAAATACCTCGACTAGATTCGTCAACAGGTGTGGCCCGTCAGTCACGAAAGGAAATTATTTGACCTTGCAGATGGTTAAGGAGCGGCCGACGTATGTTGTTTCCATAATTCGATCATTTGCATATGACAATCTAGGTGCAACAGCTGCCCGACAATGACTTGCACAATGACTCGGCAAATAGTTCGTCAGAGCAGTGAACGTTTTAGTGATCGTCACTGGTTGTTTACATATTAAAATTCCAGGATAGATCGTTGAAATATCGATGAGGGGTAAGTGATAAATTGAAACGTCAGAAGCCGAACGTCAGAAAGACTGCCAGAGAATGTGAGGAAACCTCCGGAAGAATGGCATACATTTATTAACATGCATTGTATTGACTTTGATGTAATCAATAGGGCGCTCAAAGTACGAAGGCTGATACCCGTTTTGCATTTAGTATGGAATAAGAGCGTTTAGACGTTTATCCTAATTCCCTACAAATTTAAAACATCGAATAAGCACTGAGGCCAGCTAAAAGGATACTGCGATCAGTTTGGGCTTTCCGGCCAAATAATTAAAATCATGTGAGGAGGAGTGGAACAGTCACAACTCATAAGCCCAAAGGTCGCATCGAGATGATGTTGCTTCTAATGAATTAATCCCGACCACATGGCATCTATAAACAATGTAGGCGACGGCGGTGCCCTCGAAGGCCCTCCGTGGATGCTTGATTTTCATGATACTAAATTTTCCTTGCCTGAGGTGAACATGGTTGAAATGTCTGGATATGAGCTCACCCATTGCATTTCATAAACTTCACTACATGTTGCAGCACTAAGCCGCCCCAGAAATGTCATGCGACGCCAACACCGTCACCTGGTGGCAGCCTTCGTAACGCTGCTGACGCCAGGTGTCGCTGTGAGCCGGTAGGTGTGACTGGAGGATCCTCGCCAACCAAAGGCCCATTCTATCAAACGACGGAATGGAGGGTGGTTGTAGCGAAGGTGATGGAATCCACTATCCGTTTCCTAGCAGCCTCCGAGCGATATAGTTAGGTACAAAAGGAATGGAACTCTTGCCTAGACGAGCTCAATCTTGGTTGTCTTGTAAAAAACCCTTCACGGTTTCATTTCACAGTTTCACTTGCTGAACGATTCGAGAAGAGGCACATTAGCAATGCCAGCAAGGTCGCAGCAGATCTACCACCACCACCACCATCACATAAGCTCATCTAACACTGGAGTTGGGAAGCCTGAAAAAGGCGACGCTTTACCTCCATCCCACTCGGGAACCAAGGGCATGCTGACGCTGTACTTTGCGTCGCCCCCACTCTGAAAACCGCACACAGATGTCGCTGCTGTACTCACCGGTGTCGATACTGTCCGGCGGCTCCAGTTTCTCCTGTTTGATGGCCTGGTGGCAGGGGGCGCTGGCGGTGCGGCTGACGGCAGCGCGCGGCGGCACAGAGCCGAACGGAGGAGGCTCGGCGGCGAAGGACGGAGGTGAGGTGACACTGGACATACACTGCGTCGGCCGGCTCTTCGCGCCAGACGACTCCAACAGACCTGCGGCGGGCGGACGAGCGTCAGAGAACGCTACTGTACCGGACCAGGTCAGCTACTTGTTCTGGACACATTACACGTCCTTTGACCCTCGCCCGCACATGGGGGGGGGGGGTTGCCACCCCCCCCCCCCCCCAGGTAGTCTTTCTGCTCTGCACTCAACATTTTTAGAGCTAGAAGGCTGATTTTTTGTATAGCTGCTCCTCTATTCTTTCTTGATGTCCACTGAAAATTTCAAGTTTCTGTGGTTTTTGGTTTCGGAGATATGACCTTGTTTTTCAGGTCATGTCATGACCCAAATGGCCAATTTTCAACATCTTGCGTTGGCTATGGGCCTTGTGAGCTTCTGACACCTTGATTTCGGCCTTTTTTGCCAGTCTTACCTCCCACCTATCATGGAACATGTTGTTCGACGATGTACAGATGTCAAGGTCAAGGTCAAGGTCAACCTAGGTCATCTAAGATAATTGCGTTTTAGGCAAGCGGAATTTACTTTTTGTGAATTTTTTTGACTGCATTTTTGGTAAAAGCTTCTCAGATCATGATTTCATGTAATATGGACACATAAACAATCGGTGCACACATCAGTATACACACAGACACACACAGACATACAAACCAGGGATGCGGAGCCGGAGCCGGAGCCGGAGCCGGAGCCGCCGGAGCCGGCATATTTTGCCCGGAGCCGGAGCCGGAGCCGGAGCCGTGAAACAATATAGCCCGGAGCCGGAGCCGGAGCCGGAGCCGTCAAAAAAGGGGGCGACTCCGGCTCCTTTTCTTAACCCATTAATGCCGCTTGGGTCATACGCTTGGGTCATATATGACCCAAAAGCAAAATCTTAATGTTTTTTTCTCAATGGAGGCAAGTGGCACTTTGAGGAACTTTTGCGTGTGTTTTGTTGGATTTGTGGGTTCAGTGACAAGCGTCGGAGCCGCATAAAACTTGTGTGAGCTCGTCCACTGAAGTTTCTGGAGCCAAAGACGACGGGACTGCACAGCCGCCGGTCACTGGCAATGGCGCGCCGTCCCAAAAAGTAATATATCATGTTTGCACTTTACTATCTGTTGAATGATCGTCCACTTGGCATTTAAATTTGTCTGAAAAGGGCGTGATGTATATTTTTGCCCTTCTTGTCGCCATCGGATAACTTTTTTCCCTCGATAAATATCATTGGGTCATAAATGACCCAGCCGGCAATAGTGTTGTCAATTTTCTCGTATGTTGAATACAAGGGAAGCAACTAATGATTATACGATTATTTATTTCTGGGGGTTGTGATCAGATCACAGTGGCGGATCCAAGGGAGGGGGGTCATATGGGTCACTCATGACCTCCCTTGGGGCCCGGGGGCACCACCGACCTATCAGGGGCACCACAGGCCTGACAGGGGCACCACAGGCCTAGTGTTGCGATGTTGGGATATCATGAGCGGACCGGTCATGCGGGGCCGTGACGCGGGGCGGGCCGGAGACTCGGCCGGCCGAGGGGCACCACGGGCCTGTGAGGGGTACCACAGGCTTGTTATGGGCACCACAGGCCTGCAGGAGCACCACTGGCCTAGCAAGAGCACCACAGGTCTGCCAGGGGGCACCACAGACATACCAGGGGCACCAGAGGCCTGCCAGGGGCACCATCGACCTCACATTGGGCCCCACCAGCCTCGCACGGGCATCTTGGGCCTGTAAAGGGCTCCACGGGCCTGTCGGGAGCACTTTAGGCTTGTCAGGGGCACCAAAGCCCTGCCAGGACCCAGGGGCACCAGCGGCCTAGCAGGGGCACCACAGGCCCACCAGGGACACCACAGGCCTAGCAATGGCACCGCAGGCCTGTCAGGGGCTGCACAAGCCTGTCAGGGGCACCTCAGGCTTGTCAGGGCCCAGGGGCGCCACAGTCCTTCCAGGGACACCACAGGCCTGTCAGGCCTATGGTGCCCCTGACAGCGTCAGGAGCACCAGAGGCCTAACAGGGGCACCACAGGCCTGCCAGTGGCACCAACGGCCTCGCCAATGAGACGTTGCAAAGCATTGCCTCTTAATATTGTTTGGCTGAGACCGCTATACAATATACACAATACTAGGTATCTAGCTAAATCGGTTTTCGTGATATAACTCCTTATTTGTGACTATACTAATGCCGGTTGGGTCATTTATGACCCATGCTTATAACTTGAGAACTGATGGAACAATTTTTTTAAGCTTGCACAGTTTTCTTACTGGGACCCGTGTGGTTAACATTTGTTAAGGACAACTTAAGAATAAAAAAATAAAAATTCCGGCATTAGTGGGTTAAGAGGAAACAATTATTTACCTAGTTCGGTTTGACAGTACAAGGCGTAAAACAATGTGGTATTCAAACTAGCCTTGTTATACAAATACAGAAGCAACGTGTACCAATCCTATCGCCTTTTTTCTTCCACCCGTATTTAATTGATCGCATAGGGGATGTACTGCGTAGAAGCCGGAGCCGGAGCCGCCGGAGCCGGAGCCGCCGGAGCCGGATCATTTTACTCGGAGCCGGAGCCGGAGCCGGAGCCGCCATGACATTTCACCCGGAGCCGGAGCCGGAGCCGGAGCCGATTTTTTTCTCCGGAGCCGGAGCCGGAGCCGGAGCCGTCTGAAATTTCCACGGCTCCGCATCCCTGATACAAACACATATAATTGACCTTGACCTAACTTGACCTGAAATGACCTCAGCAGCAAAAACCTGGTCGGGTAGTGTGACAAAGAGGTTCTAGCTGGCTTGGCACCAGAAAACGGCATCGTCATCGGTATATGATAAGCAGCGCACTTGATATCCAGCGGTGACCCAAAACAGCAACATTTTTTAGTTTGACCTGACCTGGAAGGTCAATGACTGACCTGAGAAGGTAACACTGGGTATCATTGGATTCGTTTCTTCCCAAAGAATCTTTTTGGTCTTTATCGCTAAGCTCTATCTCCAACAGGAACGAAATGGCGCGGGGGGGGTGGCAACCACCCCCCCCCCCCCATGTGCGTTCTCGGATGGGAAATGGCATGTGCGGGCGAGGGTTGAAATATCACATGCCAAATGATCACTATATCCTATCCTCTGTGAAGCGTTTTCAGTCCTCGGACTGCCCCTCGTATCACAGTTGACCCCAGACAGAGACTCACTAGCTAGCAGGGGGTTGTTGACGGCGATGGAGCGTCGGGCGGGGTCGGCGGCCGATAGTCGCTCCCGACACGGCAGTTCACATGTCCGGTCCGGCTCGTCCTGGAAACAAAGAATGGGGCGAGTCCGGTTTTAAGGTGTTGGTGATCTGTCAGGGTGACTTGATATTATCTGAGGCTACTCGAAAGTCGAAGCCATTGGAGGTCATTGGAGGCTACTTGAAGTCATTGGAGGACTCGTCTATTTTAGGCATCTCCCGTAACGTACCCTTATTACGTACGAACTAAAAGAGTTCCCGCAGCCGGGAAAGCCCGCTGTGACGCTATTCCCTCTCACCTTGACCTTGATGTGGAGCTGCTGCAGCTGGGGGGTCAGCTCCCCGGGCGCCGACAGCTGACGACGCATCCGCATTCGCCGCTCATTGACGGACATGCCGCCCTCTGCCATTAGTTCGCCCACCTGCCGGGAGAGGCGACACCGGCGCACGGCGCGTCAGCTCACCGCTCAAACGAATCCCTCCCACATTGACGTCACCGAGGGATCAGCTGATTTTCCGGCAGATGCCGAGGCGACGAGCCACCACTATTGGTGTCACTCGGTCAGGGTCACCGTCAGCTACTGTTTACTCCACGAGCTAACCCGCCCCCTATCCACCCCGCCCCTCTCCGACCCGTCCCAACCGAGCCCTTCTGACGCTTTTCGGCGAATCCAGCCTCGCTGGAAGGTGCCCAGGCCTCACTGAATGTCAGTTTTGTGCCAGAGGTGACGCTGTTAATAACAAACACATCCGGTCCGGTGTCCGTGGGCCGCACTGTTAACGATTACCAGCTTATCGTGTTATGTGGGTCAGTGTCACACGCCCTGGCTGATACTTTTCCTCGTAGTCCTCATTTTTATCACATACTCATCACTCCATTCAGTGTGACAAGCAATCCAGTCTCAAGTCTACTCCATGTCCATTTGTCCATCAAATGTCTCCGAAACGGACCGTTTTTATACTAACTCTACCTCCCCATCGTCCAATAAATGTAACATTTTTATCTACAATCCTACCACACTGCATCTATACCTGAGTACTCCTTCCACATACCCTATACTCTGAGAGCAGGTTGCCCAGGTCGAAGTCGAGGCTGACGCTGGTGGAGGCGCTGAACAGCTGGCGCGCCGCGTCCGAGTTGAAGGTCTCCTCGATGGCCCCCAGGTCGTTGGTGGGGTCCACCAGCGGCGGGTAGCCGGGGCCGGCCGGCAGGGGCTCCTCCTCCAGAATGGCGTGCTGGAATGGTCACTGGGAGGTGACGCGCGGCCAGGGGGAGCGAGGTACAAACCCGATGTTACGCTATGTGGCGATGGCTGTGCGTAGTAAGTTAGTCAAACGATTATTTACGAGTGCTCTGACTTTAATACGTTCATCGATGTGCTCAGATGAGTTGAAAGTGGCCATAAAAAACTAATTGCTACTTGTTGAAGATAAAGCGATCACTGGCGGAGGTAGGTTAGCGTAAGAGAATGCCATTGATAAGTTTTCAACGTTAAGGTAAAGCTCTTCACACACTGATGGGGCCTGAATATTAAAAGCCCATTTCTTTAATAGATGGGCATGGTCGGTGACCGGTGTATCCTAAATCCGCCAGTGAGCGCCGCATTACCAGCTTACGATGGCGCTAAACTTCCTTCTCTTCCGCAGTTGTAATTGGGCGACCTGGGCCCAGTCCTACGCAATGATCTCTGTCACCAGCTGGCGCTTACCACATGCTCCTCTGTGTTCATGTTTGTGTCGATGTCTGTCTCGGCGAAGCTCACCGGGCCGCCGCCTCCTGCCAGCCTCTCGCACGGGAAAGTCCCGGGCGGCGCCGACGGCTGCGGGGGCGGCTGCGGCGGTGGCGGCGGCGGGGGCGGCGGCGGTGGCGGCGGCGGCTGCTTGGCATCCACGTGGTAGTCGAGCTGGTTGGTCAACCAGGACATCAGGTCGTCATCAGAGTTGGTTGGCATCATGTTGTCTCCGCACTCAGATCAGACTGCCGGTAGAGGGCAGGTCGGTCGTCAGTGGGTGAGCGAGAAGCTAGCGAGCGAACGACGATATTTAGCGTTGACGAAGCTCTGCCCTGCCACAAGATACAAGTGAGTCAGTGTGTTCAGGTCATAAAAATCATGACGATTTTCTTTTTGTAAATAGCATGATGATAACGTCAACTTCACACTGAATCAGGCAAAACATTGCAAACACAAGGTGCAGCAAGCTATGCATATTGTATGATACCATGTCACCTACTGTCTAGACATGATCAAATATGTAATACTTCTCTCATCAGCCTGCTCACCTTTCCAAGAAGCAGCTGTTTCGGATATCGGCGATAATCACATCACCAATCTGTAAAACGAAAAAGAACATGTCAAATATTCGGGCATTTGTCATAAAATAGGAGCTAGCGACGGTCCTATTTTCGATTAAGTTTAAAAGGTAAACAAATTTAAATCCTTACACAAAAATCAACGCCATCAACCATCAATTGAAAAGAGGCTAAGCCCTGCAACCCAATAGGAGCAAATATACCTATCTCAAAGCCGCTTCGCAAGGAGCAGCCTCCTCGCGGGATTGCGTTGTGCTGCCACCTATGCTCCTTGGAACCTATTGTATGTATAACCAGCGCAAGGTGGCAGCACCAGACGGTATGATAAGGTCGGGCAGCGAGCAATGCTCGAGCAAGTACAAAATGGCGGAATAAATATGACGTCTCATCTGAAATTCAGAGACTGTCAGTTTCTTTAACTATACTTCTTTATAAACACAGTCCAATATTTAAAAAATATATTGACAGAATTAGATAAAAAGGCGAAAATAAAGAAAATGCATGAATAATTTAGTATGACGTCATTTCTTGTAATATCCGTTTTGCCGCCAAGGGACGAGGAGTATTTGTCAACAAACATGTCAGCGCCCGGTGAGAGCGGTGGGAGCTGTGATGAGTTAGACCCGGAATCAGAAAATTTTGATTCTTCACGGGCTTTGTATTCTGAAAAGGCAGAACCGCCGTGTAAAAATGTTCGTGTCTATGATAACCTTCAACAATATGAAAGCTTCATCAAGGCGGCTCAGCAAGGGACATTGCGCAAGAGGCTGCAAACCCAGCAGGTGGGTATATAAACAGTCACAGTAAAATGTATTATTTCCTCTGGAGTCACTTACCATTTGAATAATGTCATGATGCAAATAATCAAGATCAGACTTATAGCATGACACCTTTTGATATGCCTTGTACATTGGTATTAATAAAGTTGATAATTTTGCACTCGAGATAAGGGATCAATGCGTTTTGTGTGGATACCTATCATCCGGATGTGTGATTCAGCCTTTATTGAATCAGGCCCTCGTATTCTATTTATTCCATTGAATAGCATAGCCTGTCAAGAAGTGGGAAGAAAGGGACATTAGGTTCATTCGGCCTGAAGCTGATGTTGCAAGGTCCCTCCAGCTTGAGTTGTTCCAGCTGGTCCAGCCAGACTGCAAAGCATGACAAAAGTTCTGCACCAGCTGGAGCTACACATCTCAACCGACATGCACCAACCAGGCTGGATATTATAGGCGTCATACTTTGCAAACGAGGCTGAAAATTGAGCACCATTTGGTATTCCGCACCAATTAAAGTCAAGAATTTGTGCCATAGAAATAAGAAACATTTGGGCCTAAATTAATGACCAAGTCTGTCCAGATGGGATTGGCATGTCACAATTGTAATTATTGGTCACCCAGTTTGCCTGGTTAGGATAATTGTTGGCACTAATGGCAAAATTTAAGCATTATCAAGGATGTGGATGACTTGGTCTTGTGAATAGAAAGAAGAAATTCATGAATTTTATTTTTAAAAATCATTTGTAACCTGTGGTGCATGAATATGAAGTTAACTTTTCTTGGTTTTCGGCATTCTGAAGTGCAAGTGACGCACAAATCAATATAGAGATTAATTGTATGACTCTAACATGAATGAATGAATATTTATGTTTTGAAAACAGCCTGCAGCAAGAAGATTTCATATAATTAATAGCTGCCGACTTTTTTTTACTCCAATCAGCTCTTATTGCTCATAGTATTGTATTCATTCTACAGCTGTAGGAAGACAGCTCCATCAATTGTAAAAACAATTCTATAACTGCATCTCTGCTATGTTGCAGGCCAATCGAGAGCGGCGGCAGGCTGAGGCGGCTGGAGAGACGTTCCCCACCGCTGGACCGTCCTCAGGAGCGATGGGCGGCGGTGACGGCGCGGGCGGGAAGCGCTTCATCGTGCCCGGCCGGCGCTTCACCGAGGACCAGGGTACTGGCTGGGGATAGGCTGAACTGTGAGGATGACGGAAGGCAGTATCGTGTGCTGGTAGGAATGGCTAGGTGTGGGTGAATTGGGTGAATTTGGTGTTGGCAAAGAAAGATTATTAACCCTGTTTACTGATGGGTAAGTCAAGTAAGCAGAGGAAAGGGCAGTGGCGGAGGGGACGTTCAATTACCGATCATGCTTCGCCAAGGAAATAAGAATGGTCATGATTCACCAGTGTGCAACACAAGTAGGGCTGAGAAGGGTCGGATGCTTTTAAGCTAACTAGAGCGGCTTTTAGATGGTCAGTTTTTTACATGCACGGAATATTATGCCGACCTTGAGCTAATAAAATTTCATAACTCGTGGCCCAACAGGACTGCGACTGATCAATTGACAGATCTCTGACTCTGAATGATCCGTGTGCCGCCATTTCAGGTGAATTCACGTCAGTGGAGGCTACTTCATTAATGCGTACATTTTAATTCACTGTATCTGACAGCCGGGGAGAGTGGGCGGACTATAAATGTAACGATACCGTACCCCGAGGCCATTCCATATGACATGGATATATTCAACGACATATCATAGGCAACATGTGTCGCGAATGCACACGAGCTATAACATTAACCGCACGGAAGCTGAACTGAGTAGGGAGTCAGGGACCATCCGCGGTTTTGGTTACTCTGATGCCGATCAGATATAGCTTGTCGTTTGTACAGCATTTGACTCTAGTAATGAGTCTATAATGTCACAGATGTGACTGGTGTGTAAGCGTGACTGTTCAAGCGTGAAGCAGCAACCACAGCTGGTTGTCGATATATGCTAGTCTCTGATGCCCGATAAAGCTTATGACAGGCATCTTTCATGGGCGCCAACCCATCATCCCTTCTTTTCTTGTGTGTCGTCAGGGAGTTGTTTTGTGTTAACTGTCGGTTCCTTACTCCCCTCCCGCATTGACCAATGTCTTTCTTGGGTGACTGCGGGCACTGACTAGGCGTCCGTCCCGCCTTTACAACCAGCGTTCGAAGGACTGTGGGAGCTGATTTGGTCCACCACTCGTCATCCCCATGCCCGATATCTGCCCATGATACCCCAGGTAGTGACCTGCCCCTGCCCATGACACCTCTTTTAGTGACCATCGCGGTGTCTTCCCCAGCCCCCTGTGATCTGACTCCACCCCCACCCCCAGCGCCGGTGAGCCGCCCCAAGAAGCAGCTTCGATCGGTGCTGACACGGATGGAGAAGGCCATCCCCGGCCCATGCGGACGGCTCAAGTGGTACATGGACCAGCGCGTCAAGGTCAAGGTAAGCGATCGATACCCGGCAGAGCCGCTGTCGAGCGGCGCTGGCGGGCTCCCGACCGGCGCCATGAAGGGTTGTACTTCACAGGGACGAATGGAGGCAGGATCGTTAATGTTTTGTGTGGTTTGAAGGGATGCGTACTTGTACGGTGTGGACTGGTTGCCTTGAGAGTGTGTTGGGTGTCAAGCACGTCATTTAACCCTTTGGTATGGACGCTTTTCGCAGTAAAAACGCGCCGTTTTCAGTGTTCGTTCCGGGTGACATGACCTTTGAGTTCGAGTACCTGCGCAGTTTTATGACCGTGGCGGAGCCAGCAAATCAGACTCGCAGGGGCGGCACGACCAGTGGTGGTTATTGATCTGCACAAGTTGCTAGGATATTGAAATCCTAGGGTTCTTTTTGCTCTAAAAAGCCATAGCAATTAATATTTTACTTGGCTGTATGAAGTTAATCATGTTGAGAGCAATGCTCGCCCAGAGCCACTCAGTAACGAAGTGATCGGGAATATTATCTTGCACTGCATTTATTCTACCTTGTAGCTTCATCTCATTCCCGAATAGCCAGCTTTTTCATGGCCTCCGCAACCAGTGCTTCACAGTGTTCAATCCAATCAGATCAGAGACCAGTGTGCGACGGCGCGGCGTTTTATGCGAATTGTTTCCATCTGCGACCGCCGGCGGCACGTCGGCCCCCCGCCCCCACTACCTGCGAGTGCGGCCTTAGTTCCGGGTTCACGGCGTCTGGCCTCATCGATTGCCGCTGCGGCCGACGGAGTAGTTCGCGCCGCTCTCCATAGATGGCGGGCGCTACCAAAACAAACGCTCAACAGGTGCGAGAGAGGAGTGGACATGCGCCGCGCGCCCCGCTAGTAGTCTGATGGGATGGGGGGGGGGGGGGGCAGCGAGCGAGACAGCAATTAATTAGTTCCCAGGGAATCCCTGACGCTATGGAGCTGTTCAGGCTCGTCCCCTTCCCGGTGTGAGCGCCCGCGGCTGGCTGTCTCCTCTCCCTGGCGACTGCCGGTCGCGGGGGTCACAGGAAGGAGCGGTATTGTGACAGGCGGCTACTGAGCCTTTAGCGTGCGACTCTGCACACTGAGCGCCGATTGAATGCCGGCCGGGTGAGACGCCGCTGTGGCCTGGCCGGTTACCATGGCGACCACAGGTAATCGGAGCGCTGCCGGGCTGTCGCCGGGCCCTCGGCCGGCCGTGTGCTGCCGTGGCACTGAGCTGTGATCGCTGCCCGCTCGGCGGCACCCGCCAGTCATCACAACCGCGCGCCAAACGCGGCGGACAGCGCCTGTCTCGACGAGCCGGCCGCCGGAGCTGCTGATAACGACAGGTGTAACGCGACACCCCGGACCAACTGCTGGCCGGGCAGTGGACGGACCCGCCGCTGACTGTCCCCTGCCTCTCTGCCCCGTGTCCCCTCCGACCCTTCCCCCCGAACTCCCCGCTCGACTAACCCGCCGGTTCCCCGCCCACAGGTATACACGAGGAACTTCGGCCGGGTGCGAGGCGTGCTCACCGGCTACATCGTGGCCTTTGATAAACACTGGAACCTCTGTTTGGAAGATGTCGATGAAGTCTACCAAAAGAAGGTGCGACGGAAGAGCTGCTTTCTCGGTACGTTATGCCTTGGTCTAAGAAAATAGGTAAGGTATCGAAGAGGCGGCTATTGCTGCTCGTATCCTAGTGATTGAGCACTGTTCGGTTGCCTTCAGTCTTCAGTTCGATGGTGATTTGCTGTTTTTTTTCTCT